GGGAAAGAGGGTGGCGGCAGGGTCCCCCCCAACGCTGCCTGAACCTCAACTTGCAGGGACCTCTCTCTGCCTGGCAAACAGCCGCTCACCCTGCAAAACCTGCAGGATGCTACAGTAAATAGGCAAATCATTGGAAATCAGGAATTACAATTGGGACTTTTAGGACATGAACGTGTCAGCCCAAGCCGCAGGAGATGAAATCCTGGCCTGGGGAAGGGCAGCACCTCTGAGGGAAAAAGCAAAGCGGTGGAGCAAAATGTGGTGTTTTCCCGGGCTGGCTTTAAAAATCATCATTTTTGGTGATGTGCAATCAGGTCCCGGCTTGCTGCTACAAATTTTGTGCGATAATATGTAATATTATATCTAAATAATAGGGTTTGGGTGCAGCAAATCAAAATTTGTAACATCTCCCAGGGAAAGTGCTTCTGCCACTTAAATTACACTTTGAGTTTCGATATATTAATGTTGATAAAAATGTGGTGGTTGATTCCTCACGCCTTACATATATGTCCATTCATGCAGTGTGTTAACGTATGAAACCAAAGCTGCTCTCTCTGAGAGGAGCCTTTCCACTGCTGGGGTTTTCCCTTCAAATGTCTAAAGTAGCCTAAAAAGCGTAAAAAATTAATGTAGCCACACATCTGCCTCTTGGTCACACAACTTAAGAGACTAAAGAGGGGTTATGAGTGATTTCAGTCCCAGAATAATGATGCTCAGGATGCAGCACATCCGGCTGTCCCAGTGCATGGGACGGACAGACAGAACATCTAACCCGCGCATGACAGACCCATCATCACACACTCATTAATTACCCTAACGAGCCTGGGAGGGGCAGCCAGCGGCTCCCCAAATCTTGAGGATGCAGCCCTGAGCTGTGTGTCAGGGACTGGGCAAACCTCCCGTTACAAATCAGATGCTTCATTTCAGTACCAACCACGCGTGAAGGCACGAGCAGCTCCCCAGAATCACCAACTATCACAACGGTAGCAGACTGGTAAGGTAACTTATTTTTGTAATAATTTTTTTGCATAGACAGCACTAGTGGGTGATGAGGGAGCACATCCATGCTCCCCATACCTAGTGCATCAAATTGGGATGCAGTGGGATGCTCTCACTGCATCCACCCCAAAGCAGAGATTCAAAAGCAGGATGGCTGTAGGGGTGTGAAAACTGGAGGTACCACGCAGCCGAGGAAGATGGGCAATAAAATCATCATACTTTGGGAGAATTAAAAAAATCAGCTTCCCAAACACGCCCCACGATGCCGCAGCATTGAAAGAAGGGTGGGCATCTCACACCAATGTGCCTTTTTCCCCGATTTTCACTCTCTCGTTTCTTCCACCGTTACATCTATGAGACTCCTTCATTCTCCATAGAAAATGAAAAATCCTACGTGCGAGGATAAACTGGCTCGTCTCATATATCTCTGTCTCCGGGCTCAGCTGCCTTTGAAAATCTGAGTTCATCTGAGCAGCAAAAACACCTCCTCCATGTTTCTGATCTGGCTTTGAATGCAAATCATGTGGATGGAATTGGGTCTCGGGTCCCTCCACTCTTCCCTCATGAACCAATATAGTCATCTCTTAATGGCTTCAGAGACTAAATGCATTTTTTAATAAAAACTTTAATGGAAAAAGAAAAATATAATCTATTTTTAAGCCCTAGAATTCTTTTCCAGAAACTTGAGAGACAAGTCTAGCTACTGCAGCACGCCTCCACCAAAAATCTGGCTTTTCAGTGACAGCTTCAGAAGTCATTTTTAGAAAATTTCCATTTTGGCAAAATGACCTGATAATGCCAAAAAAACCCCAAGCCAATCCACTTTACGGAGCTTTGGATCCAGTCATAAGCAGTGCACCAGGTTCATTTGCCTCTACTTTTCCCTAGACGAAGGTGGAAAATACAGCATCATGAGCACCAGCATCACCAAAGCTGCACTGTGTCTTTCTGCACAAGACCAAACTACTCCATGTTCTGCAAATGCATGGATCTTCACACACACAAAAAAAAACCCCAAACCCAGCCACAAAAGATCAAGTCTCTTCTGGCATTTCGTGCCCCAAGTTGAACTCAAAGATTTAGGGATCGATGAGGAAATCCAGCGTGTGAAAACAAAACAGCTCCTTCTCACACACAAACCCATGCCCCTGCTCTAAACCATTCATGCTGCCAGAACAACACACAGAAATCCCAATATACTATTCAAAACCACTAATAAGCAAAAACCATAAGAAAACCCCCAAATGCTGGACGTGCTCGAGCGAGGAGGAGGAGGAAACGGAGAGCAGGGAGGATGCATGGTGCCAGGGTTAACCTCAAAGGTGGCTGCTTGGACCCAGCCATCAGCTGGCTTGATCCCCACCAGCTCTTCCCAAAGCTCCAGGCAGGAAGGTGGCACTGGGAAAGCAAACCCAACAAGTGGGGTTTCAGCTGGAAACAGCAAAAAAATGCATCAGGAGGAAGCGGTTCCTGCCCAGTCCCCTCCCATGGCTAAGCCGGGAGCTGCCATTGGAGAGGGGACCATCGGGGCCGAGGGTCCTGCAGCTGTGGCCAACTGAAAGACAAGAAGAAGGAGAAGAAGAAACCAAACCCTGTGCTCACCACCATCCCCATCCCTGCCTTCTGCCACTGCGATGGCATCCCACTCACCAAAACGGGGCTTTTTTAAATCCCTTCAGGGATGAGGACTTCACCACAGACTGCCCTGGGCAGCCCCTTCCAGTGCTTGACCACTCTTTCAGGGAAGAAATTTCCCCTCAGATCCAAACTAACCCTGCCCTTTCACAACTTGAGGCCACTTCCTCTCACTCCATCACTTGTTACTGAGGAGAGGAGACTGAACCCCCCCCACTTCACTACAGTCTCCTTCAGGACACAGTTTAGTAGCCATAGTGGGGTTGGGTTGATGGTTGGACTGGATAGTCTTGGAGGTCTTTTCCAACCTTAATGTTTCTGTGATTTGATGCCCTGTGCCAGAAGCGTCCCCTACCTACCCCCAGCCCAGCCCTGCCCACAAGCACCACAACAGCTTCACAGCACTTCCTTCATGTTTGACAGCATCTATTCCTACTTTTCTTGGGGTTTTTTAAGACAAATGATGACATGGGGTGTGCAAGATGAGGCTTCCTCCAAAGGCATGGGGCTGTTGGAGCAGGGCTGGCCACCATGGTACCCATGCCTCTGCCCTCCACAAGATATGATGCAGCTTGGAGAAGCTGCCGTCTGCCCTGAAACAGGCTCTTCTTCCCCCAGATCCTCCCCAGTGCACCTTCTCCTCAACAAGGGACCCCAAAACCCACAACGCCCCCAACCGACTGCCCCAGCACCACAACCTGGCACAATTTTGGCTGTGATCCCCACCCCTCACCATGGAAAAGTCCAATGGGAGGTGGGGAGGGAACCCTGACTCGGCATCACCCTTTGGTTTTTGATTAATCACACTGGGCCATGGCCCACTCAGGGTAATGAGCAGCTTGCGAGGGGGAGTAGAAAGAAGCCCTGGTTGACAGAGTTAAGTTCCTCGACAGTGCAAGCGGTTTTGCTCTCTGGTTTTCACTGCAGTCTTGGTACAAGAACATTCTTTTGGGGTTTGGTTTGGTTGGTTTCTGGGGTTTTTTTTTTTTGGTTTTTTTTTGTTTTGTTTTGTAATAAATAAACAAAGATCACGGGAACAAATGGCACAAACCAAATCAAAATTATTCTGGTCAAACTTGCGATGTCATCTAAGGAGCCATAGCATTTGGGCAAGGAAAAGCCCGGATTGGAGTCTTCGGAGGAAAACCCTGGGAGTCAGAGAGCACGAGCAAGGGGAGTGGAGTCGTTACCGGGTGTGCTGGGCACTACTTACCTTCGAAAGTCAAATAAAACTTTCCTCTGTCAAACCAAACGAGGGAAGGCTGTTCATTCTCTGTATGGCCAGGAGTTGAAGCGGGAGGGGAAAGGTTAGGGAGAGGGAGAGAGAAGGACACAGTGTGAGTCACAGAGCAGGACATTTCTCTTGCTACAGGGACGGGGGCGAGACGCTGCTGGGTGTTGACGTGCAAGGAGAGGGGAGGCTGTGAAACGCTGGATTTCAGCTTAGGAAGCAGAAAGCAGAAAGCAAAGCTATGGAAGCCCAGATGGAAGAGTGGTTTTGCCCGCTTGGTAAGTATTTGGGGGGAATTTTCCCTTTTTTTTTTTGTCAGTCTAGAGAAGAAGAGGCCTCTCAGCTCATGCCCTTGTATTTTGGCAAACCCCTCATCTTCACCTCCATTGGCAAGCCCTTTCCCGGCGGGATGCCAACGTGCGCGACGAGCGGCAGCGAACCCCAGGCATTTTCCATTGTGTTTCAGGACACACAACTTGCAGATCCACAGACACACACGCACACATAGAGCGGGAGGTGCCTAACTGGGAATTTTCTTTCCCTTTCCCGCTACATCCAGCTCCCTGTGCTCACACCACCTCAAAAGCCACATTATTACCAGGTACTGCTGAAATATCTAGTGATAAGGGGGCAAAAAAGACCATTTTTAGCTGTTAAATTATCCCTTTTGAATGCACAAGGTGACAGACTTTCACCTCGACGTCCTTTTTTGCGTGTCACTGAGAAACTGTCATGCAAGGTGCTGCGAGCGATGAGTGCCGGGGCTCAGGGTGCCCGCGGCCGCCCGTACCCCAGTGATGCCCTGCGAGTACAGTACCTGCAGGCGTCTCACAGCGCCTTTCAAAGGTGGGCAGTTTGTCAACAAAAGCATCATCTTCTGATACACACAAAGCAGAAGAAAAGCAAAAAGGAGAAGAAAAACAAACAAAAAAAGAATGAAAACACCAAATCCCAACTGAAACCAAGCAGTGCACTGTATCAACGGAAAAGAAAGACAGAGGAAGGTTTTAACAAGGAAAATAACAGAAAGGGCGCTGACATAGAAATAACAGTGTTGTTCTTGGCGATAAATTATTCAGACTGCACATGCAACCACACGGAAAGCAAACCAGACCAGCACAGGGGGGACAGAGGAACAAAACCGCTGTTCCACATGCTCTCGGACAAAAATGTCTGTTGGACTTTGCCACAGGAAAGAAGAGCTGGGCCCGTGGCAAGGTTGGGGTGTCCTGGTGGCCCCCTGCTCCCCCCCTCCGCCCTGCCCTGCACACCTCTCACCTTATCTTTGCCTCTATGTATGAAAAAACCCCCAAATTAGGTTCACACCATTGCCTTGGTGGAGGCTATGGGGAGATGCTTGAGCTTGCCCAGGGTGGCTCCTAAAGGCCCTGTGCCCCTCTTCCTGTCCCCTGGCCACTTGGCCTTTTCCCAGGCCAAATCCTGTCAACACGGCCCCCACAGCTGTGTTTGCCCAGAGCAACACCTGCAATTTGTAGGGGCTTCTCCTGGCTGCCCTGTTCAGTGTCCCCCTGCCAGGGGTGACCCCAGAGCCCAAATTTTGCCTCTTTTTTCAAGGAAAGCCCCTGTGGAGGGCGTGGGAGGTGCCGGGGCCATTGGGCACAGCTTCTCACCCCTCCCTGCCCAGCCACATCAGGCCCTGCTGCTCAGGGTGGAGAGGTGATTAAAAAACATCAACTGGTAATTTTTGTTCAAAAAAATAAAAAAATAAGATTAAATAAGGTTCAACCAAGAGCCTAAGGGAGCCAGGCCTGCTTCGCCTACTCAGCCCGCAGGACCAGCACACAGCCCCGTTTCACAGCTGCTTCTTCTGCAGCCCCCACAGCCGTCCCTGTCCTCATTCTGGCTGCTCCTCTCCACCAAAATCATGTTGACCCCCACAGCACCAAGTGCTCTGTGGCCATCACAGGTGCCAGCCTAGGCCACCAGTGGCCCCCTCAAGAGTAGCCAAAGCTGTGGGACAACGAGCACAGACAGTACCGACAGCCGACACACCAGGGTTGGCCAACCACTCGCTCGAGATGCAATTTTTGGTTTCCAGCAGCATGCCGTGATGGTGACCAACAGCCGGCAAACAGGTAACAAGCATCTACAACACCCTGAGAGTGAAGCGAACAACAGGACGGAGACGCAGGTCGGGGACTCCAGTAAACCTACAGGGAGGTGGGCACCAACACCAGGGGGACATCGCCCACCCCATCATCTTCCAACCCATTGTCTTCCAACCATCAGCTCAGGCCACCCCGTTGTCTCCCAGCCACCAAAGATGGTGTTGGGGTGGCGATGGCTCGTAAGGTGACAGCCGATGGGAAACACTGAGCATCCATGAAGACCATCCAAGTTTTTTTTGGAGGGTTGGGGATTCAGGTCCCTCTACAGAGCCCATTTGCCAGCCTAGGCTGGCCAAGCTCCTTCTCTACCATGTAGCCCAGGCGTGCTCACCATAAAAACCATGGAAAAAAAAAAAGAAGAAAAAAAAAAAGGAGAAAATAGGTGATTCCTGGTAGGAGATGGAGCTGCTGAAGCGAGGAGCAGTGGTGGCAGAGGAGGGAGTGCCGGCAGCTGGGACAAGGGGATGGAGGAGACGAAGGGGACCCAGCACACAGAGCCTGGGAGCTGCCAGCCAGCCTTCATCTGCATTTTGTGGTTCAGGCCCCTGGCGAAGGGGGAGCAAAACCCTTGAAAATTTTCAAGACATTCTACCAAAAAAGACCTGCAGTGCTTCGTTCTGATCTAGAATACATCAACGGTTTGGAAAAGCCTTTGCCAAAATCCCATTTTCCACTACCACTTTAAGGGGAATTATCAATTTAAGATATTCAAAGAGATTTAACATCAGTTGTTTCCTGGATCCCAAGGTCTGGCTTCCAGCCCCCCTCCCCTCCAGGGTAAGAGTATTGCCTGCAAAGAAAAAAAAATTAAGAAAAAAAAATAGTCTTATTTTGGCCAGATTTACAGACCATAACCACATTTTATCTTATATTGCACTCGGTAATAACCTCCACCCTCAAACATTCGTTTTTCACAATACTGAGAGCTGCTACAAAGAAAGCTTCCCTAACAATGTCATGTTCATGATCCCTCACGTCCCTCAAATCCCTTTTTTTGCATTTAAAAACCTGATGAAAATTAATGAACATGAACCCAAAGAACAACCTAGTGAATGAAAAAACTCAGAATTTTTTTTAAGGCTGTTGAAAGGTAGGAAAGGTGAAAGAAGAGCAGTGCTGTATGTTTTTACCAACGGTGGGAGTGGTGGCTGCGCTCAGGGAATTGGTGGAAGATATGGAAGAAGTACTTTCGGCACGGGCTAAAGGTGCTATCGGAGGAGGACTGGAGGAGTGAATAGGAGGGCTAAAAGGCCTGGACTGTAGAAAAAACACACATAAAATAACAAAAGGTTAAAGAAAACACCCACAGCAACATTTGCATCAAACAAACAGAAGCCATAACCCTCTACCTCCAGGCCAGCTTAGTGCAAAATTGAGCAATTCTTTTAGTGCCAACAGAGTTTTAGTCTAGACCTAAAAAAGCAGCAGAAGATGCCCACCATTGCATGAGTCTGGGTGTTTGAAGTCCCCAGCCGCACCCAGCACAGGAGTTCCAGGATTTTTAAATTACTATTATATTGATTTTTCCAGCATCAGGAAGGGAGCAGTGCCCACCATGAGCCAACTGGCTCTGGACCAGTTCCTTGGGTCCCTATGGATCCTTTGGGAATTATTTTATATCCACAGCATCACTCCAAAATTTCTCTATAACTTACCTGCAGCAGCCTGGGGAGGTGGGACAGAGCCCAACTGGCTCAGTATGGCGGTGGGGACCCCTAACAAAAATTGCTGGGCCTTTCCCACCCCATGACCCACCTGTTGTTGGCATCACTGGGCTGTGCCGGGAGGCAGAGCGGGAGATGCCCACAACCATTTTTCCACCTGAAAGAACTATGGGAAACCCCAACCAACCCATGCTAGTTAATTGCTCTTAATGACTTGCTCCACTCCATTAACCATCCCAAATGCAGCCCCCCCAACATACCACGTCAGCGACGGGGGGCTTGCCAGGGGGCAGCTTGGGCCGGGAAGGGGGTCGGGGAGGTGGTGGTGGTGGGGTGCCACCACAACCATTTTTCCACCTGAAAGAACTATGGGAAACCCCAACCAACCCATGCTAGTTAATTGCTCTTAATGACTTGCTCCACTCCATTAACCATCCCAAATGCAGCCCCCCCAACATACCACGTCAGCGACGGGGGGCTTGCCGGGGGGCAGCTTGGGCCGGGAAGGGGGTCGGGGAGGTGGTGGTGGTGGGGTGCCACAGGCAGCCAGTGGTGTGCCAGGGCGGGCCGGTGATGAGGAACCTGCAAAAAATGAGGAGCCATGAGCATCATGCAGGGGGACCCACAGCCACCCATCCCCAGACCCCTGTGCACCCCAGCTGAAAGTGACAGGAAAAGAGAATTTTTGGGATGGCCGAGGTGCAGGTTTGTTATTGGAGGAGTCTTGGTAGCATTCCTGTAAACCAGCAAAAGGGGCACAAGAAAAGTGATGCCTTTGCCAGTCTCTGGAAGGGTTTCAAAAAATAGCAAGGGTGCTGGCGTCGGGGATGACATGGTCCCCAGCACCTCGCCATCTGTGCTTGATTTTTTTTGGCAATTAAATGCAAATTTTAAGATGCTCAAGAGGAAATCCAGCAGACTGTGTTGCTCCTTGTAAAGAAATTCCTTCTAGGGTAAATTTGGCAACAACCGGTGCCGTACAGAGATCACACCAAGGCAAGTGGAGATGGAGGGGGACTCAGACCCCTTTTTTGGAGGACAGCTGTGGTGACATTTGTCACCCCTCAGTGGAGTGGCGTGGCTTGTTCACAGTGATAAGGTGAGGGCTTCAGCTTTATTTTTCCCATTTACAATGCAATCAGTTCACTCGTTTTTTTTTAGGTGACAGCTCAAATTAAGGAAAGATCAAAGCCAGGGCTATAGAAGTGAGGCTGAGACAAGAAATGCTGGTCGTCTATGTGCACATCTCAAAATCAGGCCATTTTTATTTAGGAGCCTCAATAGGGAACCAAAATTGCAATTTTTTTCTGTGTTATCCCAATAAAAGCTTGACAAAACAGGAATTATTCTGGGACGGTAACCCAGCAGCACTGAAGGAGCATCACAAGCTGGTGATGTTGAGGAGGAGTTTTGTCCCCCCCAGCCATCTGCTTTCATCCGTGGAGAGTTATTCTTCGGGTGTTTAAGGTCCCTCCAGATATCTTCTACGATGAGAAATGGTGACAGCACGTCCTAAACCAGCACGAAAGCAGAAGCCTGCTGGGATGGCAGTCCCCAGTCCCACCGCGGTGACACAGTCATGGATCTTCCCAAATAGGGTGGGTTCCTCCATCCATCCCCACGTGCACATCCCCATCCAGTTGCTCAGGTGGTGGTGTAATAAGAAGCTCTCCGTTTCATGCTGCTGATCTCCTGGAGATGTCCCAGTTTCAACTAGTGCTACTGGGATCTGGATGCTGCAGCCCCCGTGAAGACCCTCACCCACCCACATACCCCTGCCACAGCTGCCTCAGCACAGAAAAGCCACCACCACTGAAGCAAAGCCACATTTACAACAACAGCCACACTTAAGATAGAGGGACCCGAGGGACCAAGACCTAAAATCTGCAACAATTTTAATGCCCCACTTCTTCTGAGGCTTGCTCAGGTTATTTGCCTGAAATATCTACATTCACTCTGAAGTCTACTGAGGACAGAGCTGCAGTAATAGCAATCATATGCCAAATTTTGCATCTGAGGGGGGGGTGTTATGTGCATAGCAGGGGTGGGAAGGGCAGCTCGGAGGAGTATCAGACACGCAGCAAGGAGCAAGGGAGAGGACACAGGAGGCTGAGGGCAGACGCTGGACGAGGAGGAGCACAAGACGGCCAGGCGGGAGTGCAGGCACCAGGCACAACCAGGTGAGAGGGGATGGCGACTGCAGTCACGGCCACACGGAAGCACACCCAACGCTGCGGGACGTAC